AAATACGCCTCATTCAGGATAACAGGAGTCAGAGCCAAGCGTGGAGCCCGGGGACTCTCTAATACGAAGAATCAGTGGAATCACTCGACCGACGTTTTTCCGATATGCCTCCCTTCGTTTATATCTTGTGTGAAGATCAGTTTCCTAAATTGTTACGATCACGTTCCAGGAATGTAAGGTTAGGCCAGGTAAGCGAAATGTGTAGTTTCTGTTCAGATAAAGAATCCGTTTATTGTGGCTGTGACCTAATTTGAGGCTGTTCTGGGTAAAGAATTCGCACGGCAGAATTAAACTATTTGGTAGGCGGCTAGGGTTCAGAAGAGAAATGATCTTCTTCAAGGAAGACGGGTCCCGTCTGTGAAGAATGCGAAGAAGAAATAAGACAAAGAACTGAAAACAACTGAAAGATGCGCTCACTCTGAAGTACGCTTGGCGTTCAACAGCAAAGGTACCCAGCCCTTATAACCGTGTTTTGGTAAAGACTTATCGGCTGCATTTATGCAGAATAACATTTATTGATTGCAGCCTCTTAACCGGAAATTTAAGAAGTCTGCGTACAAACTAAACAAATAATCGTTTCGCTGTTAGCTTTATTTTTTCTTGTTTCGAGCGGAATAAGAAGATCTCACGTTTGTAGGAAAATAATTTTAAAATGTGTCCCACAGTTGATTTGTAGGTGTGTGTTAGTTCATCCAGCTCATGATGCGGTTGAATACGTTGATGAAACTTCGAAATTCCTTAGCTGAACAGATGATATAGTTACGTCATCATCGGTAGAATGCTACATTTTACGACAAGAAATACAGCAGAGTGTGAGCCAGCAAGAGCGGATCTCCTTAAAACTTAGATCGCTTTGTAAGATACCAGTCTGATTTTAAAACGCAGAACTTCCCAAACTTATTCACATAAAGTCTAAAATCTCGCGGAGCAGCAGATCATGTGTTACAGTAAAGTCAAAACAGTACTTGCATCATTCTTCATGCTTTTCAAGTATGTAACTTGGTTATATACATTATATTTATACAGATAATTAATAAATCAACAGTTTAAGATCAATTAATAAGTGACGCTTGTACACACAAAATATATACAAAGATTAAGAATGACTATTCTTAGAAAAGTATTCGTTGTAACACATACGGGCCTAAAGATAAATACAAAAATATCGAGACAAACAATTTAAAAAAAGAAGTAGCATAGGCTCATTAGGAGATACAGCAGGACTGAACAAGAGCTGTCTAATATTAAGAGATACCATAATTTATGAAAAATGTATATGCATCTAGAGGGGAAAAGGTCCAAAGGCACTGGACGACACTAACCCAGGACTGTGAAACCTGTAGACGAATTTGGGACCCGCAGATGCTCAACGGGTCGCCTAAGTACCTGAGTATAATTTATGAAATATTGTTAAATTTGTAGAAACATATCAATAAAGTTTAGAATGTTTTCCGCACATTTAGACCGAAGTCGCGGCACACTGCTTGATAAACACTACTTTGTCGTACATATTAATAAATAATTAATTTAATTTCGGGCGCCGGATTGTCTATGTACATCTCCTTATATTTTTTATGTCGTTTATCGTTAATTTTTCATATAAAATCAGCCCGTTGATATTCCTGTAAAAACACAACCATACAAGATGTTACTCATAGATTTAGACGGAACCAGTACCTACTGAGTTTCCTCTCATACTCTTTTTATTTTCCTCCAAAATGTTCTCATATTTTTTCCCCTAAATTACGCCTCAGCCCTTTCTCTGGGGCTGTTTTTCTGTATCACTTGTCTTAGGATGGAGCGCATGGAGGGGAAGTTGTAAAAGAACAAGAGCCAGAGAGATGTAGGGTACACAGCGCACGTTTAAAAGGAGACAGGATCGTTCAATTTGTGGTTCGGAGTTTTGAGACCACGATCAACAAGAAGTAAGAAGCAAGCCCAATCAATCTCCGATCTGGTGGCTGAAACACGTCACCCTCAAAGAAGCAACTTTTCACTACCTTCCGTGTAGGTTACGTGACTTCTGAAAATTACCCTGGGATTTATTTCATTCCACCCAACCCCCGGAACGTCCCGTCTTTCTTGTTACTGTTGCTGTATCAAATTTTCCGTGTTTGACAATTTATACTCTCGCACATAAGTCATTTAGGTTCAGATGGGAGGATTATTATGCGTATTAAGTTCTGATGGTTAGACAGGAACAAAATTTAAATAGGTAACGGATACCGACATGGAAAGGGTTAAATGCCGTTAGTGAAACAACTCGGAATATGTAAATGCTTAATTACAAATTACAGCCTCATATACAAGAGTTTCAAATTGGGAAATTGCACATTATTACTTTGAGCATGGAATTACCAGATATATGCAAATATGTAAACAGTTTTTGAAAAAAATTTCTTAAAACGACTAAAATACCGGTACCCTTTAATGATGTAAATTATTTAATTACGAGAGAAGGGTAAAGCAATTTGCCATTGAAAAATAAAATTTTCAGTTGTTTCTTCAACTTCTAATTATTATTGGAAATAGATACTCTTTTGTATTAATGTAGCTCAGGATAGGGGCTTGTGGTGGACTACGTCGAACAAGGAATGCTTCCATAAAAGACGGGAAGTGGTTGACTAGCTGAGCGATTGTCAGCTTCTCAGGGAGAACTCTGTTTCATAGAGTTAGTATGTATATATTGTTGTTGAGACTTGTGGAGTTTTCCATACAAGTATTTTGTTCTCTTTATATATTATCGCACTTTTTAAATTGCTTTATGTTCTGTTTCCAAACTGAAGGCTATTATCGCACTTTTTAAATTGCTTTATATTCTGTTTCCAAACTGGGGTTGCCACGTGAGTGAAGGAACTGCCTGCCATTACTGAAATTAAAAAAGTACGGAATAATGAAGGACTTCTCAATGTGAATGGCGTTCTGAAATGCTAGCTCGCAAAATGAACTCGCCTGAGAGGTGACCCAGTTTTCTGAATGCTCTGAAGTAAACGCTGAAGCTTTTGTTTCTATCATAAAACCATTAAAAGGGTTTCAGACCAACACAGTCGTTTTTATTAACATTAAATATAGTTCATCACCATAAAGTTAAGTCTTGAAGCTGCTACTTTCTGAATTTTCTTAAAACATCTTCTTGTGATGTCATTTCCGTTCAGCGACCATGGTCTTGTGGTTGACGCATTGTTCCTTTTCAACCCTTGC